TGTAAAAGGCTCAAGTCAATAACTTCTGAAGATAACCCACTAATATTATAGACTGTTAGTGTTAGATTGTTTAGTTGAATTCAAACACCTATAGTATTTAGATGCCAATAGAATATTCACCTCTGACGGGACAAAAAAAAAAAAAAAGGATACAAAGGAAAGATCATTTTGTATTTATATATACAAAATAGTGAAGATAAATTTACAGCCACTTTTGCTTAATTCAGTGAGAAGAAAGAGGTGTACTAACAGTGTTTGGACAGAATATCCTGTCTGCTTCTTGTACTATGGATAACCACTAAGAAGATAACAATGTACAGTGTATTGACTATCAAAACTGTCCTATTAATCAGCTGTGAAACTGTTTCATTCATATTTATTTCTCAATAAAAAATATTAAAAAAGGAGTTCATTTGTCATGTCATGTGGGTCCCTTCCTCATTCCAGTGGTCCCCAGCATCGCCACAGTGGTCATCATCATCTCCGTGTGCATGCTAGTGTTCGTCGTGGCCATGGGTGTGTACCGAATTCGGATCGCCCACCAGCACTTCATCCATGAGACGGAGGCTGCCAAGGAGGCGGAAATGGATTGGGATGACTCTGCGCTGACCATCACCATTAACCCCATGGAGGTGATCTTCATGTTGGACTGGGGGCCGAGCTGGGCTGCTTCCCACTCTTCCTAGCTCAGTTCTTTCCATTCTAAAACCTTGTCCAAGACCCCTCTTAGCCCACCTGAGGTCCTCCCACTCCATCTAATCTATCCCCATCTTCCCATCTCCAAGCTTCTGCAAACCTCTCAATGTGAGCAGACCATATTTCCACACCATTATCTGATTTAAGAGGTGTGAACTGCTCTCACCCCATGGAAAGGACCAGAAATTTCTTAAAGCAAGCAGCCATTGAGTCTATTTCTTGCTTCCCTCATAGTTCAGAGCTGCCAGTACTTAGGAACTCAGTATCAAATGCTTTGTTAACTGTGAATCAGATGGCTTGTCTTCATTTGGCCTAAAGAGCTCACTTCAGGGCTCAGTTTAGGTTAAAACAAAAACACAACAACAATAGCTGCCATTTATTAAGCCCCCATTATGCCAGTCTATACAGGGTGCCCTGTATATATCAACACCTCTAAAGTAGGATTCACCATCCTCATTTACCAAGGTAGGAACCAAGAGAAGTGCTCAATGCACACAGCCAATACGCAAACTACTCTTCTAATTCTAAAGTTTATATTTTTGCAGTCATCCAGTAGCTCCTAGAAGTCACCCATGAATTGCAAGATACCTCCTCTGGACATGACTATCAAAGAAAGTCATAGATATCATGCTCTTTGCCTACAGGCACTGTATAATAATAACAGGCACAAGCCTGGGGAAGCTGGGGAGATCAGCCATTGGGAAATAACAAGGATTGTTCCAGCCTGGTGCCCAGTTCCCTCTCTGCTGGTCTCGCACTCTGATTTCAAAGCCAAAATGCCAGTGTGTAGGTCTCATTTCTCTAAGTAGGTGCTGTAGATCTAGTGGGGGCTCACCGCTATGCAGGCACCAGAATTTCCATTCTCACACACCTGTAGTGTGGACAGCAAGGGCAGGCTGAGGACCAGACAGTAGCTAGCCTAACAAGGAGCAGCCGGATAGTACCATTAGGGAAGCTGGAGTAAAAACAAGCACGTTTGCAGAAGAAGCAGCCCCGGGGGAGCTCAGTCTACAGGAGGCCTTGGATATTGGGTGAAGAAAAGATAGAATAGATGCCATTTTAAGACGGGAGTATGGCCAGGCAGATAGAGACACCGTTTATGTCCTGACTCCCCAGCTTATAACACAAACCTAGAAGTAAGATTTCGCTGGAAACACCAAAAAGCTGGAAAGAGATAGAATGGCACTACAAGGGGCAGGACATGAGTCAAGGTTGAAAAGCAGGCACAGAGAGTACAGCCATGATCTCTGTCTTTTCCAAAGGAACATTTCCAAGGGACAGCACACCTGAGTCTTGACTTAGAAAGCCTTCTGCTCAGGGCATTACATTCCCAACCTAGACAAGGAGTATAGAAGTCAATGTCATTCTTTTACTAGGAAGCAAGCATTTTCAGTTTCAGAAAGCTCTAGTTAGATAGGTTCCGTAACTGCCAGAAAACAAGCCTTGGCCTGGAAAATTGCAGACTCATTGATAACATAGGCTTAGATGGCCACCCCATCATTTATGGAATTTTTACGTTGAATGCATGTCTTTGAGCTTTCTTGTAAGTCAGGCATTTCCCTGAGTTAGGAACTTTCTGGCTTTTCTTTTACCAGAAGACCTTTCCGGAAGGTCTCTCTCCAGGTCCAGGAAGTTAGCATCCAAAGACAGGAATCCCACAAGAGACTAATTGTTGCCTTGATAGAGAATGAAACACAAGCTCCAAAGAGGGCGCTATTCAGCCTCTGATGAGTATTGGCTTTCTCTTTCCAACATCCAGAAACATGGAGCACCAGGGCACGGGGAAGATGAGACTGAGGGAGAGGAAGAGGAAGAAGAAGCCGAGGAAGACATCAGCTCCAGTAGCAGCGAGGACAACAGTGAAGAGGAGGAGGAGGAGGCAGGGATGCGCAGAGGCAGACACGGGCAGAGCGGCCCCAGGCAAGCCCAGCTGGAGTGGGATGACTCCGCCCTGCCCTACTAGTGCCTGCAGTTCCACTGCCCAGCCCATGTGTCCCTTTTGTAAAGCCCGCCCGACCCAGTGTCTGCCTGAGCCTATCACACTCACCTCTGATCTCTGGGACAGCTTTGGGAAGGCCCTCTGCAACTTCCTCAAGCCTACCGGTGGGGCAACTCCCTGAAGCCATGTCATCACCGGTGGGGACTCCAGGATGGACTTTTTCCTGTAGCTCCCACTCCTCCTGCCCTGGGTTCACACAGCAGCCTGTGAGTCACTCTGTGCAGTTTTGAACACCTTGCTCTCTTCTGTAAAGGACAAAGCCCATCTTTATGTCACTTAGCTCCCCGGGCTAGTGTCCCTGAGGCCCCTGGGTCCCAATTCCCAGTGTACATCTCTCTCTGCTGCCAGCAGCAGTCCTCCCTGCACTCACTCTGCAGGTCCCTCTGCAGGGAAGGAGGCAGCACTTCATATAGTCAGACCTTAGGGTTGGGCACTTGAAGGGAAAGCTCTTGTCCAGGCAGAATTGAGTTTACAGAGAAAGATACACACACATACTTCCTAGTTTGGATAGTCTTTCCCTTTGCTTCTTTCTGAGGCCACATAAATTTATATGACAAGTACAAAGTCAAGGATTGGCCCTTGGCCACAAACAGAGCCTATCCTCAGCCAGAGGAGTCACCTGCCTGAGGGACACAGAGAACCTTGTGGCTGCCCTTCCCGGGCACTCGCACATAGAACTATCAGACACTGGAAGCATTCCACTCAGACACTGCCCTGGTACACTTTTCCAGAAGTAGAAAAAGGGCTGATGGATGATGCAGTAGGGCCTCATGGAGGAGGCAGATGTGGGAGACAGGTAAGGGTAGTTGGGCTCCCTGGGACCAAGGCAGCCCCAAGTTCAACAAGGCTTTCACAACCTTGCCTCATGCCCTTCTCAGATGTACTAGAATGTGCATGAACTCCACAGGTTCAAGATTAAAGTTTGGAAATCTAACTGCTAGGAATGAGAAGCATATTTGTAACAATAGCAATTGCTTCTTTCTTTTTCGCACAAAAGGAAGAATGGTTTGAGTAGAGGGCAAATATATTCAAAACCCTAATTTCTTTTCTTTTTTCTTCCTTTTTGAATAAGGGAGGCTTTCCCATCTTCATTCTAACATGCACACCTCATGAGGAGAACTGTTGCTATGGTAACCAGTGGGTGATCTTTGTGGCCAAGAGAATAACAGGCAAACATTCAGGCTGTTGGAAGCCTTCCCCAAGGCTGGAAGGACATGTTGGCTTTAAATGCCTTGGGTTCCTCTTTGTCCTTAGAATGTACAAGCTATCCACATCCTCCCACGGCGCCAAAGCCCACCTCACATTGTTTTAATACAGACACAAAGCAGATCACAAAGTTCAGCATCTGCTTAGGGTCTTTTCTGTGTTATCCAAGCAGAGAACATGAGCAGGGGAACTACAGCCAATGTCTTCTAGTCCAGCCTCCACTCAGTAAGGATACAAGAGGCCTCTCCGTGCTTCTGATTGGCTAGAGCTACCTGGACAGCTCCTTCCATTCTCAAAGTGTTTCCCATCATCTCCTTCCTTTGAACTTCTCAATAATCTTGTGAAATATTTGACACATCTGTGGCTAGACACATTTTTGTGGTGTGTAATTGAAGCTCAGAGATTTGGTGTCTTGCTCATAGTTGTCGAGGTATAAATAAGACCAGCCTCTCACCTACTCCTGATCTGGGGTTCTACTTATTCTCACACTGATGTACTTGTCAGGCATTCTGAGCGCCTCTTTCATGCTAAGCATTGTACTAGAAGCTGTGGGAAAATAAGATAGCAAAATGGATTAAGCCCCTCCCTACCTAGTTCTTGGCTACCACAGAAGAGACACAGAAGCAGGCATAGGAATTGTACAGTGCATGCAGAGGAAGGGAGAGAAGTCATGGGAGGAAGAGGGCTGTGCTCACAACTCACCTAGTGTTCTTTCCCCTTCTTGGCAATAGCAATGGAAGAAGCTTGAGATTTTACATAACAGGAAATAAACACATCTCCTATGAGTCATCCCAATCACACTCCCCTCTTCTCTCAGATCTTGTCTGCGCACCCATAGGGAGAAAATCTGCAGGATTGCCCAGGCTGTGCAATCCCACTATTTCAATAAAAGCAGGTTCTTCAGTCAGGTTCTACAAAAACTATGGCAGGGAAAGGAACACTTTCTCTGTTTAAAACTAAATCTTTTTTTTTGCATTAGGTTTTAGTTGTAAATATTTAGGTGTAGGGCTTCTGAGAGCACTTTTCTCTGTACTCTGTCTTTCTAGCCACATTGGGTGGGGAGGGCATGGCTTGTATTCTTAGGCTGCATTCATCAAGTTTGGATAGGCTGCTTGGAGTGTTGCAAAACCTATATGTGGTTGGGTTGGGTGGCAGATGAATGTGGCATTTGGCGGAGGCAGCAGATAGGTGTCATTTGAAGAATCCTGTGGTGACTAGACTCAAAGAAACAATGGTGACAACTAACAAGAGCCCTTTCCCTCTACTTTGGCTGCAAGAGGCTACTGTGCATGCCAGCATTCATCTTGTTCTTGGTACCCTGCTCATTACCCCAGTTGAGTGAGATGGCAGCTTCAGGAGGTGTCCAGATTGGTGATAGGTAATATTAAGTCTGCCATTTTCTAGGCTGTGCCTGCTAGCATTCTGGGAACCAAAACTCTACGATGGCCTGGACAGCCTATACCCTCTCATTCAGACATCAGATGCAGATAGGACCTGTAAGTGGCACCCTTCTGGCTTGGACCTTGGCTGGGCCACTGCAGTCTATTAAGCGGATGATGCCACAAGTCTGCTCTTCAGAGCTAGAGAACAGCAAACATGAAACTTCTTGGGTGACTCAGCCAGCAGGGAGAAGGACAAAAAGGATCTGGGACTGTGAAAGTTCGGGACACAGCAAGTTTCTCAGAGGAGTAAAGCACTCAACTAATTGAGGAACTGTCTTGAGAACCAACAGCATACCCTAACAGATTTAATCAAATGCTCTATGTCTGGCTAAGGTCCAAATTCATTTAGACACAAGAACATAATTTCATGGTCTCCCTTTGCATCACCACTTTCTTGATTTTACTTAGACATTCTGCAACACACTGCACAGACCAAAGCCCTCTGTATCTAACAAGAGCCATCGCTCTAGACACGGCTCCTGCAGGAGAAAGGCTCCTATGGAAAGACAGCGTCCTAGGCTCCTGTGTGTCAGAGGTCAGCAAGCTTCATCCTTAAGCAGCCAAATAGTATTTCTGCTTCGAGGCCATGTGGCTTCTGTGTTGTGACACGAACACAACACAGATGACCATGAACAAATGAATGCTCGGGTGAAACTATCTGTCCACGCACGAAAGAAATGCTGTACGTGGACCCAGAAAAAAGCAGGCAATCTGAATTCATATAATTTTCATGTTGTGATTTTGTTTTACTCTTTTGATTTTTATTTCCAACTGTGCGAAATCATAAAAAACTTTTTGCACCCACAGACCATGTGAAAACTAGCTGTCAATGAGACAGCCAGACAAACTGCTCTCTTAGTTCTTCCATCAACAGCTCTGTAGTCTTTGCTTCCAAACTGAGCACCAGGAAAACCCTATAGTTCTTCATTAAGCTAAGTTCATGCTTCAAGGGAAACAAAACAAACAAAATGCTTGTTTTTCAACTGACAAATTCAGATGAATATCCCTAAGTATGGAAGACCTTGGATCCAGGGAACTGCCTGACTAATACGCACTAACTAAACAGACGCAAATGTGAAATCCCCGGGCTCAGCATCTTCCCAGCCTGGCGCGGCACGTGAGAATTTCTAAGCAGGTGTTCATTATCTCAGACTGATTTCCATCTCAGCCCTGCTCATGCCATTGATGTAAAAGGGACCCTAACGACTTGTGACTACGTGAATCAATAGCGACGTAATCAGCAGCAACCACGCTCAGCACACTTTAAAATTAGCAGTTTTCTTAGATCTCCAACTCAATATTAGCAAGAGGATGAAAAAGAGCATTTTTTTTTGTAATCATTGCCTCACTTTTAAATTAACCTACTAGGTTTTACCAGAAAGTAAGAGAGTGGGTGAAATTCTTTGAAAAGATGTCAGTGACAAATACACGACGTTCACATACAATAATTTTCTGGCCTCTGGGTGATTCTTCAGCTTCCTGCAAGATGTGCTGGCAGGCTGCAGATGCTGCACCCTTCTCTCTCTGCATCAGACACTTATCAGAGCTGACAAGCCAAAGCCCTTGGCATGGCTTAATGTTCACGTAACTACTTTCTGTGGTCCAGCTAAAGGCAAAGGAAAGGAGCAATGCAAGTTTGAAGTCTACTCCACCACCCCCATTTCCCTGTCTTTATTTGCTTTACTTCATAAATTTATTCTATGCCTGCCGTGTAGAGCTTGGTTGAGTTTTCCTTATGGCACCAACTAAGAGTTGGCTTTATAGGGGCTGTATTGGAGACAAGCTTCGTGTTGTCCCAGGGAGACGAATGAGCCAGAAGTTACTTCCACTGTACCCCAGAAAGCAATCAGACAGTTCTGTGAGCAGTCAGTGAACAGATGGGACTCTGTGTCCACAGCCCTGCTCGATGTCATTTGCTAACTCCTCACTGAGCACCCCTGTGTGTTCCAGGCACCATGCCAGAAAGAAGGGAGGGAGAGCAGATGAGGGACTGCCAGCCTGTGAGGATCTCCTGGTCTTCATGGAGCTGGCACTGTCCTTGAGCAGTCAGGACTGCTGGGGGGCGGAAGTGTGAGGTTAAGAAGCTGGGATAACTTGCCTGATCACAGTGACTCCAGGGCCACCAATACTCCTTGCTGAGGCAGTCTGAGGAGAGCTTTGGGGAAGTAATGTCTCCTTGAATGTCTCCTAGTTCACACGTAGAAAGGCACCAGTCTCCTACCACTGGGCAGAAATAACTGACTGATGACTGCCATTTGGTTAAACTAAGCCAGAGGAAGTCCCGTAAATAAGAACAGCAGCCAGGCAGGTCTCACAAGTCAGGGAGAGTGAGCCAGGGGGCAGGCGCTCATGCAGCCAAGATTAAACTTGCCCTGCAGGGTGTGAGGCAGCCCTCCAGCTGCTGGGTGGATGGAGCCCCACTCGGGGATCTGTAGATGTTTCAGAGCTGTGCTCCAGATGCCGTCTGGGAAGCACAGATTCGCAAAGCGCACTCCAGACCTACTGAGTCAGAGAACAGAGGTGGAGCCAAGTGATCTTCGCTTTAATAAGGTTCTGGGGAATACTGAAGTTTGAAAGCCAGTAATGTAGAGGATGAGAATGGCTTAAGCTGCATTAGGAGGAGCTGCTATGAACAAACAAGGTAAAGTAACCAATCACTGGTGCAGTGGGGGAGGGGAGCAGACCTCCCCACCCCCACTCTACAACAAGGGCCTTCCCAACTCCAGTTCATAGTCCTGGACACTGGCTTCAGGAGCCTTCTTCTTAGTTCGAATCACCCTCCCCTTTCAGACATGAGACAGCTCTTACCCATGTGCTTCTGCCCTAGATGGAAAGTGCCCAGGAGCTGTTCTAGGGAGACGCCCCACACCTAGGGGGCAGCTGCTGAGCTCCTGTCCATTGAGCAGGCTTGTGCTGAATGAGGAAGCAACACAGTAGCCATGACCTGGAGTGCAGGGAGACTGTCTTGCTCACAGCCTGTGCACTGGTGATGCACTGAGAGCCTGGTAGAGCACTGACAGGGTCATCCAGGGACACTGCCAGGAGACTCCTTTGGTAGTGGGACTTGGGACACACAGTATCACGATTCAAAGCTAAGTGAGATGAGGAATAAATAGCTTTTCTTGGAAAGGCAGTAATTCGTGTTACTAAAAGTAGAAAACCAATAACCAAAAACAAAACTGCAGCCTTATCTACAACGTGAATCTGTCTAGACACTCTCATTTGTAAGGCCTATGGAAGTGCCAGCCTCCACCAATGCCTGACCCCAACCTGCTAGATGCCTGAGGCCTGCCAATCAGTAACGCATGCCTTAAACTCTGTGAAGGTCCACACATCTTTAGGAAGAATCTGTTGATGCTTTATTGGCCATTTGCACTTAACAGTGGTGCCCAGTCTGCCCAAGGCACAAAGGAAGAAGAGATGGGGAAAAGTGTGGCATGTGGTCCAGAAGAACAAGCAGCTGCGGTTAAGTTCCTACAAACCCAGACTGCCCTGATCCAAGACACCACTTGGGCTGCCCCAGAAGTCTCCTCAGGGAATCCCCAAATACCCACAGGAAACCTCCACTTCTCTAGTTGGTCTGTGAAAATGGCTTCTGATTGAATGCCTGCCAAAGTTCTGAGACCAGCACAGAGATCACACTGAGGACAAATCATCTCTAAAATATTAGAATATTTGCTAAGAGGAAAGAAGGAAGGAAGGAAGCAAGGGAAAGGGAGGGAGGAAGGAAGGAAGGAAGGATCTGGAGAGGAGAGAGAGAGAGAGAGAGGAGAGAGAGAGAGAGAGAGAGAGAGAGAGAGAGAGAGAGAGAGGAGAGAGAATTACTTGTCATTTGCCTCTGAGAAAGCATGGCAGAATCCAGATAGGAGAGTTTTACTTTACAGTCCAGCCTCCCTGAGTGAATTCTCAGTGGCACGTTCCTCTTCCAAGACTTGAAGCAATCTTTCATGTTTATCTTAGTCACTTACTGCAAAAGCCTCCTATGGGACAGGGTCAGGAGACATTACAGCCTGAGGATCTGAAGGTCAGATCCAGCCATGATGCCAAGTAGAGCAAGTGGGTTGTATGAAAGTGGAGCAAAGACGAGAGTCATGAGGTCACCAGGTTGGCATGACCAGCCACTTACTCTCCAACTATTAGAAGCAAGGGATATCTGGATATCTCCTGAATCCTGCTGGGGCAGAGAGGAGCTGCCATCTTGGCACCATCACCACAGGCAGGGCCCCACCCCACAAGAATTTTGAGTTGAATGAAATGAATAAGTTATCCCTTCCCAGGAATCTGATGGAGACCCTGAAAAAGTGTCTTGTGAGGGAAGCTAGCAAGGATCCCCAACACTTTCATCTTTACCTGTACCTCCTCAAATGAAAAATAATTTATCTCAGCATCCTCAATTCCAAGTGCTGTACCTAGCCCACAGCATGAGCTCCACAAATGTTGGACTGAATAGGCTCCCAGAGATCATGTGCCTTCCAAGATTGGACTTTGCTTGAAAACTTAAGATGTATTAATGGGGGAAAGACTCTGCAAAGTCCCTCCCTATCTGCCCTCCTCAACTCCCCTCCATCTTTCTTTTCCTTCCCCCTCCCCTCCCCCCTCTTCCCTTTCTTTTCTCCCTCCCTCTGCTCTCTAATCATGTGGAAGATGAAAGGAAGTGCAGTTTACACAGGACAAAATTCCTGCTATCCAAGTGGAAGGATGGGAGTATGCTGGTTTCAAAAGTGACCCCAGCTATCTATGACCAATAGAGGGAGTTGCTGAGCAAGGAGAAAGGATAGACAGGCCTAGCGGAGGAGCTCCCCTCCACTCTAAGGGTCGTGGGCAGCAACACAACCGAAGAGAAAAAGCCTTAATTTGTTAATCACCCCAGCCTAAGACTGCTTTCCAGTCTCTTTTATCAGATTTGCTGCAGGGGAGATTCATCAACAGGAAGCTCAAATCCCCACAGTCTAATGAGAAGAGGGCAACAGATGCCAGAAAGCAGACAGTGTGTATTAATCACAGGCAACAGAGACGTGTTGGCTTTGTCTGTTTGCTTTCATCTTGAAATGCATCTTTGTTACCTTCACTCTTTTACTGAGTACTTGAGAACAGGCTCTTGAGGATGAGGGGGCTGGCTTGTGCCTGTGGATCACGGATAGAGATACAATGTGTACATGCGACTTTGGTAGCCAAAGGCAATGTGGAGCACTGTGACCTAGCACCCATCGCCACCGAACCCCCAGCTCCCTAGTGTACCCTACAAGGAGCCCATGGCATACAGGATTCAGAAGAGGTACACTGTAGGTGGTGAAAATAAGGCAAATGTTTCTGGGAGGAGGCAGTTAGAGGCAACACCCAGTGACGCTCACCCAAAGGCTGATAGAGAAGGTAAGGAAGGAGAAGGTAACTCAGTCTGAAGGTAATGCAAAAACTGAAGGGCAGAAGAAAGAACAGAGTAGCCCACCACCTAAGAAGTCAGACTCTAGTTCTGTATCTAAAACTTTATTCAAATCTCAAAGCAATTATGGAGAAGCCTTGCCATATGGCCACAGTAGGAGTCACGCCAGGTGCTTCCCAAGTCAGAAAGGCTAGAAGGTGATTTCGATTCTTA